GTTGCCTCAGGACTTGGACGTCCGCGAGGATTTCCCGAATTTCTTTTCAATACATATAACCCACGTGCAAACTAAACGAAGCTGAGGAGGTACGAGTCCGAGTTTTTTCACGTCACGGGTGTCTCTCGTTCAATTTCGGAAGAATGGCACGTTTGTTATCGCACTCGGGAGGAGACCTCTCCGCACGAAGTAGACGTTTCGCTTCGAAAGGCCACGAATCGAAAAAAGTAAATCTTCACAATCGAATCTTGAACTTTGAACTTCATTTGGAATCGTATTGGATTCACGTCCACTAGGACTTATACCGTGATAAATAAATTCTGCTTATTGCGAGTTTGAACGCCGTCGGTGAAAAATAGAGTTTTTAAAAGATTCGAAGGAAATTTACTCCGCGTCTTTACGTTCATTTGCTTCATTATCATTTTAATAGAAAGAACCACTTTTGTTAATAAGTTGATGCCTGAGTCGATTTCTGACACACGTGCATTTCTTAAGCCTTTTGATTGACTCTTGCCTTCGTTCCAGTCACTTGATCATTCATCGATCCTAGCGTTGAACGATGTTGAAAGATTCAGAACGAGATTAAGAAAGAAAAGATACCTCTGTTTAGGAAGTATTTTTTGGGGCTATTCAGAGTAAAACTAATTTTACACGGAGTATAAAGAAATCGACGACGAATCGATCATTTGAGAAGAAAGCGGAACGCGATCGCACAAAAACAAAAGTCGAATCTGTCGGTCTTTTGCTTTTCAAAGCCGCTTCTTTCTGTTTGTTCATCGCTATGCACGTCGAGAATTTTTTGTCCCAAAATTACAACATTTTCTCAGTTAATTATATTTAATTATATTTTAGTATAACCCAGGCAAAATTTATTACTTTTCAATAATTTCCATCCAGTGATATATCATACGGACGAGTTGAAAGAGAAAGCGAGGAATTATTGTATACGGCTCGGTCACTCGTTATGGTCCGCAATCAGCTAAGTCGTCCTTTCTTCGTTACCAGTTCGCGAACGGAGCGCGATTAACGCGAGTTAATTACCATCGACGGCAGCTGAAATTCCGTCCTCGAAGTGAGTTCGTTTCGAAAAACTCGTTGGCAGATAATTGATAGGATGTTGCCCTTTTAATATCTCATCAATCCAGTGTCCTTCGTTTTAGGAAAAAGACTCATCGGTTATTGAACAATGTGATTATTCGCTTGTGTAATTTTATTGTACGCTGTACAAATGCACGTTGTAAAAATCATAGAGATCGATCAAGAAGTCGCGGAGCTTGGTAATTAATCCGATTTTTGCAGCTGTGTCGAGCGTAATTGACGATTATTTATGCACGTGAACGCTCGCAACACGCACGTCAAGGAACGAACCGAATTCACGCGGTAGTTATTTAATTCGGCAAGCGGTTTAATTCGTAAATCGACGATCGCGAATCCGCCGGGCGGCGAGGATGATTTGCCGGTGTACGCTCGATGACGTCGATGGGGCGCGTGGAAAGTTTGGAAAATTGTTGGACCGACGGAAGTTGAGCGGCGTGAACATGGACCCTGAAGGGTGGCGTGTTCCGCTTTCCATTTACCCAGCCGTTAATCATGAAAACGCGCAGGCTTCGTTAGTGCGATGAACTTTGTCGGCTTTGTGTGACCTGTCGAACACTCGATAAAGTGGCTGGCTGTCCGCCGCTTTTCGTTCCATCTCCGTCTTCCGAAATCTCTTCGCCATAGAAGTTGTGTAAATAGTTTCCAGCTGGCGGTGTATGTGTATGTGTGTGTATGGAGGGAAAGGAAGAGATCGTCGAAGGTTTGAATACTTCCGGTCGAGTGGAACTGCCCCAATTCCAACAGTTGAACGCAAACTATAGCGTGCGGGGGGCACGAAAGGCTCGCGAAAACTCTTTATTCTCGAAAATCGTTGCAGCATGGAATTTTCCATGCCGCGAGATCTTTTTGCCAAAGTTATTGCCGAAGGAGCAAGAGGTTGAAATGCGAGATAGGGTAGCAGAACATGGTGCAATCTTTCTGATTATTTGTTTCTTCTTATTCCTTCTGTCAACAGCTTGCCTAACTTGATTTCATTCTCAGTCTCCAGTAAACGTTCGTTATTACAACGTGTCGTAGTCACTTGCGGACCATAACGAGTGACCGAACCGTGTACAGTAATTCGTCGCTTTATTTTTGAAATTATCGAGAAGTAACAAATTTATTATTTGTCTTACTTAAATATTATAATACCTAAAACTGAGGTTTATAAATATTGCAATTTTGGAACAAAAAAAATCCTCGACGTGCGTGGCACGTGATTCCAGCGCAAGTGGTTGAATCCTCGGTTTAAGTTGAAATTAAAGTTAAAATTGAAAGCTCAAGTTTATATTTCGTGGATCTTTCTATGAAATCGAGACCTCCGGTTCTCACCGTGAGTGTTGTAACTCGATATTATAACTCGAGGGGTTAAAGGCTAACGACAGTGGACAATAAATTTAATCGTTCCGTGAAAAGCCCAAGATCGGAGGTTAGATGACTCGGATGACCCTGTCCTGCTTCGCCAAACCCCCGGTGCGTGGAACGCTGTGGCGACGTGCGTGCGATAGGTACACGGATACCCGTATCGGATTTTGGTTCGGAGCATGTACGGTCGCTTTATCAGAGAATTCCAGCAATCGGGAAAGCAGCGATCGGCCGCGGTTCGGTCTGTGAAAGATATCGAGAATGGGTCGGAGAGGGTGGCAATGGATTTTAAACGGATTTTAGTAACCAGGAAGTAATCAGTCGTATCTGAACTCAACTGTTACCACCGGCAACATAATTAAATATATAATAATAACATAACATAACCGGTAACATGAATTAAAATATATAATAACAGTCGTTCCCGTGCCAATGGCCTCTCGTTCACTACCTCGGCCAAGTTCTCCAACTCGAGTCTTGGCGAATTCTGCCGCCGATTTCAATCAGCAACGATCGTCCCGAAAACGATCGAAACCCCCCCTTCCCCGTATATTTCCGGTGGACGCGAAAAATCGACAACAACCGCCGCTCCGACGGGCCGAATCGTGTTCGCTAATGAACACGCGGCGGCGAGGATTAGCCGCGCGGATCGATATCCGCTCGACGGAAATTAGTAATTCTTTGCCCGGCGTTACTACACTGGCCAAGTCCCGATCGCATGGAAATGTATTCGCTGGCCGGCCGATCGAGTCGGAATTTGATCGAATTGGAAAGCGATTCGTCGACCCAGTTTCCATCGGGGACTGCCCGAACCGTAAACGCGAAACACAACGCGATTTTCCAACGAACGACAAGAAGCAGAACGGAGGAGAGATGGCTTTTCATCTTGGTCGATGGAATCGACAATGGCCGCCGGAGTTGTTGGTTGGCCGGGTGGTTCGTTCGTTCGCGATTGTCGGGTGTCGCGTCGTCGTCGTCGTCGTCGTCGTTGTCGTCGTCGTCGTTCGTCGCCGGAAACGCGACTAAACAGGTGTTCGCGCCAGCTGCAGCTGCTCCCTCTGTGGCTCGTCACGAATCTCTTTCCTCTTTCTATTTGCGTTCCTCGTCCAAATTTCTTTCATCATTGTCGACGTTTCCTTAAAACAGAGGCTAGTTACTCCCAGTCCCGGCTCTCTGCTTCCTCGGTTGAAAGACGAACGATTCGCATCACCGGCGATGTCTCGATCGATCGATAAAATCACCGCGATCAACAGCGGCGAGAAGCGCCGACGGAATTTTCTTTAAAAAGATGGAGCGAAAATAGAACGTTCGTTCGTCCAATGTCACGGATATCGAACATCGACACGCGACACGCGATCCATGCCAATTTTTGCGTCTGTTGTAACACTTGGATCAACCCGCCGCGAAGAAGTCGATCCGCGCTTTTCTAGTTTAACTCCTCTCTCCGTTGATACCTATCGTCTGCCTTTTCGTTCGAGCGTGATAATAAAAATCCATACGCAGAAGCAAGAAGCCGTACGCAGTACGCCCTTGACCAAGATAGTGGCAATAAAGTCTGGAGATACGTGGTTCCTTTTTTTTTCTTCTTTCTCGTGATATTCGCTGTTAATAAATGGGCTTCGTCTCGCGATTACAACGTCAATTCGATTAAACGTTTTGTAATTTCTAGAAACGTAGAGCCCCTGTTCGTTGCGTTTTCTTCAGATATCTTAAGGCGTACACTGTGACGTTTTATTTTAACTCTAATCTCAATTTTAATTTGATTTGATTTCGAATGAAACGGGACCGGAAAAAAAAAGAGAAGTGACAAGTGTAAGCGTTCTCGTGATGAGACGAAAAAAAAAAAAAAGAAGTGAAAAAGAAAACAAGATCGAGGACAGTATTACAGATAAACAAGATGAGAGTATTAATATACAAATGTAATGATTACGGTGACAAGTAATCAGACAAACGAGATGGAGATAGTGATAGAGATACATGTATTGAAGTGTAGTAGTTACAGTAATAGATAGTATGAAATAAATATAGTGGGTGATACGTTAACGAACAGTTCGGACAACAAACACATGTTTAGATAACAAACACCACGCACCGCAAGATTCGTAGAACTATACTTTACTGCCGTTTATGATCGATTTTATAACGAACAATTCGGGTAACAAACATCGTTAACCGATCAACCACTCTAGCAGCAATAAATACGGTATATGAATGCAATAAGAAACTGTACAAAATAATACACTAGCAGATGAATTGCCGAGATTGACTTTATACGTCCTTTTTTTTTTCGAAGCAGCAAATTGAGGTGTATAAGTCAGTTTCGTTACGTATGATCTGTCATCCATGTTGCGTACGCGTTGCGACTGTCAGCGGTGGTTGAACGTGTTCGATCGATTATTTTACGCTTTACCGCGAGATCTCATCGCTCGCGATAACGCGCGTATCGGCCACATCGATGGACGATTCTCAAACGACAGAGTCGAGCCGAGATCGATCATCGCGATTATCATTGACAGAATGACGGAGGACTAATCGAGAGATGTTTGGTTTGCTTTCAGCGTGGACCGGGACCGGCTTCGGGAGCGGGAACGACAGGCCCGCGCGGCGATGTCGGTCCAGGCCGAACAGGCGGCTGCAGGAGGTGGTCCTGACACCAGGCATCATCACCATGGTCACCACAATCACGCTCACCATCACGCTAATTCGCACGCCGCCGCTGCTCCACTATTCCGTGCTCCCGTCAGGGTAAGTCGATTTTATTTTTCCTTTTCTTTTCTTTTTTCCATTTTCTTGTATCACACGTCTACTTCTTTGTTTGTCCTTTGCTCGCGAAAGCATTCTGTGGTAAAATCGAACTATCGAGCGATTTTATGAAGTGCCGTTTTATCGGATAACCGCGGCAAAGGTCGAGGTAAATTTTTATTTTCGCTGTTTTTTCGAACAGTCGTTCAACACGCAACGAGCTTTCACGCTCTCGTGCACGGGTTTATAAAAATAAATGCGACACGAAGTATATAGAAACATACAGGGGGGGGGGGGACAGGCAGGCAGGCACATTTCAAACAATTTACCGCGTGTCACACGTCGCGTGACAGATTACACGTTAGTTGATTGCGCGATTCAATCCGACTTTCGTTTGTCCGACAGTCTAATATAATCTGATAAATTCGACGTTTGCACAAATATGCCCGTGACACAGTTGTTCGTAAAATCAGCTGTAAATGATTACAGCCGATTACTAACCCCCGGTACATGTCGATACCGAGTCTCTTTCAAATCGATGCAAAGTCAGCTTGTTAACTGTTAACTGTTTTCTCGCCTCTGCGACTTTCTTTGCGCCTCTCAGAGTTGGAGTTAGACTATTAGCGTTTCGACTAACTTTCGAGAGTCAAGTTGGTCCTCGCAAGACAGGGAGAAACGTCTCGGCCGCTTTAGCTGTTTCGATTTCATCCCCGAGTCTGCGAGGAATCCCAGCAGCTGTCCGAAGGCTATATAGAGAAATCCCATACGATCGTTACGAGGACGCCGAAAGGCTCGTCCAGCCTCTCCCTCGATGGCTCGTAAACATCGCGCCGGCAGAGTTCCTCTTTCACTTTGCTCGACCCCGGCTCGAATTTTCCGTTCCCCCTCGTTTCCTTGCGTTTATTGCCGATTCCCCGGCGCGTCGAGGATCAAGCTGAAGTAGGGAAAGATTAAATGAGATTCATCGAGAAAATGAACGAACAGCCAGAGTTAGTTGATCGATTTGATCCCCGAAGAGACTCGAGAGAAATACCACGAGAGATGTGAATTGGCCAAAGGAAATCAATAACTCGAAAATAGAGAGAGCACTGATATATCGACTCAACGTTTTTTTATCCTTGGTCATTGCGGCAAGAAAGTTGCAACATTCGGTGATGCGCAAAGGGAAACCACATCTTTGCCTGAACTGTTTCAGTAAAAGAATTTAAATTACGTTATTACATTGTATACTGTTTACATAATAAATCGTCAATGGGAGCTTCTTCTCTGTGATCTTAAAGTTTTTCAATTTGTAATATAATAATTATGTAATGTAATAGTATAATAATTGTATTTTTAATACAATAATTATATAATAATTATATAATATATACGCGTATTAAATTTGTTAGTCACCACTTAACGTGCAACAGCGAGAAAAATTCTCATTCCCCCCTGAAGGATCCAACTTGAAATTTTGCACAGTTACAGTCGGTGGATCTCGCGTTGCACCCAGGGGAGAGGATCGAGTTCATCGGAGTCGGAGTCTCTCAGATTTAAAGCGTTTAAAGAGTCGTCCCGCGACTTGGGTTCAATCGGCGCTCATCGATACGATTTCTTGCACACGCAGCGGTGACGGAGATGACCTTTTCGAACGTCGTCTCGCGGCGCCTCGCTTCGTTACTCAACAGGTGTTCCGCGACTTTTAAACTTTCCTAATAACCGCTTTACGAGCCTCGCGCGCGTACGCACCTGCCCCTACTTACTACTCTCTCGACTAAATTTTGTAACTTTCTTCGCCACTCTTCTCGTCGTCCCGAGAGGAGACGAGTCCTCTGCCACCGCGTCAAGAACGAAACCTCGTTGAAAACCTCGTTGGTTTATCTTATCTCAGCCGCGCTTGGATTACAGGTACATTATGTCCGTGACGAGTGAAACATTCGCGATGGTATCGTACTGATAAGTTCATCGATCGTTTTGACGCCGACTGCGAAATTAATTAATAAATTAATAAATCAGCGAAAACTAGTAAACTTTCACCCAGCGAATGCTCTTGCGGCCTCGTTTCCTCGCGGTGTAACGACGAAACGATTAAAAGGTGCGCGCAATGAGTCACGGACGGGGCATGAGAGGCAAAGAAATGAGCCTGTTGAAAAAAAGGGGCGGGATGATGGAAGTTTCTAGCTTTCTACCGGTCCTACTGGTATAAATATTCCATTCCAGAAGGTTAAACGTTTCTGTTAGGTTTTCGATAATTACGATCGACGTTCTTCTGTTAATTTTCTGCAGTTTCACATTCGTTTTCTGATGAAACGTGGTTGAAAACGCACATTTTCAATCCAAGATCCAGCGAGACAAGACGCATTGTTTATTTTCTCCTGTTATTTTTGTCAGTATCTGCGTAATTCCACATGTCGAGATTAAAGAGACTCGTTTTTCATATTGCAACAAGTATTCTGATGCTTGATACGATGCCATTTGAAATTTTGACTGCACAACAATCGAAGTCGCTCGAATTAAATCGGTTGAATTGGATTCATTGATACCTTCGGTTCCAATTGATTGATTTCGAATTTCCGTTTCGTCGAAACTGCATTGCTTCTCTATTAGGAGTACCCACAAGTAATATGCTTTTTTTGGTACTGTACAAAATTTTATTTTATTTAAGAGCTGATCTATAGGATAATTAATAACAATAAACATACCGAATATCAATACATTTAACTGGAATATAGGTTATGTTATATTATCATTATTAGTTTATTATACATTTATTATACAAGTTAAATTATTGTCACCGGGTGGCAATATGATTTATTAAATTTGAAGAAAACGACGTTACTTGCAAGTACTTTACCTTGTTATTCTAATACTTTGTCTTTAGTAAAGAAAAAAAAAAAAAAAAAAAAAAACTAACTGAGTTGACAGTCGACAAAGAGTGTTCACATTTGTTTCCAAATCTTCTGAATTGTTCGTTTTCTCAGTTCGGAATTCCCTCATTAATTTTACGACTTTGCGTATGCTCGCGGTTGGATCAGTCGGTCTTAACTCGTTACACTTAACGCTTATTTTACAATATTCACCGCGATCAGTACATCAAAGCGTATGCTTTCGACGTGTCTGTTTATCTTCCGCCGTTGCAAGCTGTCCGCGCGTTTCAGTTTCGACGCGATGCGCGAGACGAAGCGTGGTGGAATTTTCGTTCGCGAAAATTTCTGGTCACTACGAAAGACTCGACACGGTGTGCTCAAGTATATAACGAGTATATAACGTGACGATAGGCTCTCCGGTTCGATAGGAGAATGATTTAGGAGAACGATGTTTGGGCGAAAAGAAAATGGGACGAGCGTCGAGGGAAGGACGTCGTAAATCCGCGATCCGAGGTGGAAGCGATCGTATATTTAAGACCGGCGAAAGTCTTTATCGTTCTATTGCGCGTTCTTGGCAATGCACGTTGGTACGTTGAAATTGGCTACACGCAATTTCGGCCATTTTCTTCTTCCTCTGCGTGATATTTGTTTCCCCGAGTTGAGAAATCCTTGAGTTATTTGTCTCGCGGAATTACTCGAACGTTCGTGGAAGTGCAGACCTCCGTCGTCTCAAAGACGATGTTTGGTTGACGTAGTTTCTCGCTATCGGCGGTCGTTTCGACGTATTTGACGCGTGCATCGTATCAGAAGTACCTCGATTAACGCGGTTATAAAAAGCACTAGATGTTCCATGAATCGATATGACTGGCGATTCGTCGTTCGTATGTACTTGTTTGCATGTATACGTAATGTAGCGAAGAGCATGTAACGATGAAGAATTGTCAATATTTTCGTAAAAGAAAAATCGTATAACAATCTACTTAGGCTGTTTAATTTTAATAAGCTTAAAGCTTCTAGTCTCTTCTTTGTTCTAAGTTTGTTTTTTTCCCAAGCATGTTTTTACATCGTGTAATTATTCTCGAAAATGACAAAAATTTAAACATCTCTGGAAACAGCAAAAAATGTTTTTCGTGACTCGATCTTGATCATGGTCTTGAAAATTGAAATTTTTTTTCCTTGCAAAAACTTCTTGAACTAAACTGCGCGATATTTTTTTTTTCTTTTTTCCTTTTTGCCATTTTATTGAAGATTAAGGCTAGATGGAGGAAATGTTGGGATTTCTTGAATTTTTGTCGTTCAACTCTGATGTTCGATATTCAGTGAAACGACGAAAGAAAGTCATACGATTTTTACAAGTTTTAAGGAGTCGTTCAAACTTCAGACGAATAAAATTTTTACTATCCTTTCAAGAAAATAGTTTTCCATTTACTACACGACGTTAAACATATCTCGTGAGGAGAAAAGGAATTCAAAAAGGATGGTCAAAATAGAAATTTTACACTTTCGAACGTGACCAAGTATGCGATTTGTTTTTCACCAAGTTGAAAGTTTATAATGTTCGATTCAATTTTTCATTTAACTCAACTGCGATGCAGTACTCCACAATGGTGATAGTATTTTCTTAGGTGATGCAAAATGTCTTACGAGACACTACATACTTTACTTTTTTTATATTCTACACGCATTCCGTCATATCGATAAAATTCTACCTTATAAAATATTTTATCGATAAAACATTATTTGTGTCAAAATTCAGTTTCGCTCATCACTGTGTTCTCTCAGTTAACAGAATACTGTTTAATTTTTGGAAGTTGGAATACTTTTAACTTAAAATTAAAGTAAAACCGTGTTTCCTCGTTCACAACGCCTTCGTTTCGTTTCGTTCAATCGAGGCATCATTGTACGCAGCAGCGAAAGACTCCGAAACTAAAGACTGGATTACTAAAATTAAAAACTAGAAGAGTAAGAATGAAAAGAAAAAGAGGAGGAGGAGGAGGTCGAGCCTGCGGCGAGGCTACGCGGCGACTTGGTGCCGCGAACTTAAGCAGCAGGCGGGTATTTATTGCCGAGATTAACGGCGCGCATTTGCATTTCCATGTAGCGTGGCTCGCACGTTGAAAAGTTGTGATTTAGAGCGAGCAACGGTCGCAACGC